GATAAAGAAAGCGGAATCTGTAATTTGAGATGATATTCCTACAAGAGAATGTATTTCTTTTTTTTTTTTTTTCTTTGCTTTCTTGTCTGTGAGTCCATTCAAAACAAGGAAAACAGGAATTTCAAGCAAAAAAAAAAAAAAAAAAAAAAAAGAAAATCAAACAAGAAATAGAACAAAAACAAGAAAAAAAAAGAAGAAAAAAAAGGAACAATATCAACAACAACAACAAAAAAAAAAACATAAATAATGGTGTTGAAGGTAAAAAAGCGCAATGATACATTGCAACCGTTCGATACCGACAAGGTATACGCACGGTTGAGTCGTGTTACTGCTGGGCTTGATATGGAATATGTCGATCTGAAGCGCCTAACAGAGACAGTAGCTGATGGTGTATATGATGAGATTCCATCTGTGGAACTTGACAAGCTCATCTCTGAGACAGCAGCCTATTCCGTGACAAAACATCCACATTACAGTCTTATGGGTGGACGTCTTTGCGTCACTGCACTGCATAAAGTAACAAAGTCATCTGTGCTCGAAACATTTACTATTTTGTACAACCACATAGCTCATGGTACAGGACGTCACGCACCACTTATCTCAGATACACTGTGGGATATTGTACAACGACGACACGAAGAATTACAACAAATTATTGATTACGAGCGTGATATGCGTTTTGAATTTTTTGGATACAGAACTTTGGAGAGATCTTACCTACTTCGTGTTGAAAGGGCACGAGGAGAAATGGATATTGTAGAGCGTCCACAACATATGTTTCTTCGGGTAGCTTTAGGTATTCATGGAGAAGATTTGAAACGTGTAAAGGAAACATATGATTTAATGTCTCTGGGATTTTTTACACATGCCACTCCAACCTTATTTAACTCTGGTACACCATACCCACAAATGAGTTCATGTTTCCTTGTTGCAATGCAAGAAGATAGTATTGAGGGAATTTATGATACACTTAAACAGTGTGCTATTATCAGTAAAATGGCTGGTGGTATTGGTGTTCATGTTCATAATATTCGCTCTGCTGGAAGTTATATTGCAGGAACGAATGGAACATCAAATGGACTTGTACCGATGCTTCGTGTGTGGAATAACACAGCTCGTTATGTAGATCAAGGTGGTGGTAAACGCAAGGGTGCGTTTGCTGTTTATCTTGAACCTTGGCATGGAGATATTTTTAACTTCCTCTTACTAAAGAAGAATACTGGAAAAGAAGATCAACGTGCACGTGACCTCTTTTATGCCCTGTGGATTCCTGATTTATTCATGGAACGTGTGGAAAAACGTGATAAGTGGACACTTATGGATCCAAATACTGCACCAGGATTAAGTGACTGTTATGGTGAGGAATTTAATGAGTTATATGAACGTTATGAAAAGGAAGGACGTGGTGTAAAAACAATTCAAGCACAAGATCTTTGGTTTGCTATACTTGAATCACAAATGGAAACAGGAGTTCCTTTTATGCTCTATAAAGATGCATGTAATAAGAAATCGAACCAGAAAAACATTGGTGTAATCAAGTGTTCTAATTTATGCACAGAAATCATGGAATACTCATCTAAAGATGAAATTGCAGTATGTAACCTTGCTTCTATTGCTTTACCTCGTTTTATTGATGAGGAAAAAAATGTTTTTGATCACCAACGACTATATGAAATAACAAAAGTTGTGACAAGAAATTTGAACAGAGTTATTGATATGAATTATTATCCGTTACCACAAGCACGCGACAGTAATATGCGTAATCGACCTATCGGTATTGGTGTACAAGGAATGGCAGATTTATTCACAATGCTAAGACTTCCATTTACTAGCAGTAAGGCTAAAGATTTAAATGAAGAAATTTTTGAGACAATTTATTACGCCGCAGTGGAAGCTAGCGTCGATCTTGCTGAAGAAGAAGGACCATATGAAAGATTTCAAGGGAGTCCTGCTTCTCAAGGTTTATTACAATTTGATTTATGGGGTAAAAAACCACGCAGTGGACGGTGGAACTGGGATGCACTTAAGGAACGTGTTAAAACGAGTGGTATGAGAAATTCTTTACTCTTGGCTCCAATGCCAACTGCATCAACATCTCAAATTCTTGGTAATAATGAGTGTTTTGAACCCTTTACTTCCAATATTTATGTACGTCGTGTTCTAAGTGGTGAATTCCCTGTTGTTAATAAGTATCTTGTTATGGATCTTATTAAACTTGGACTTTGGAATGATGATATGCGAAATCAGATTATTGCATATAATGGTTCAGTTCAGAATATCAAGGAAATTCCATCTGATCTTAAGGAATTATATAAAGTTGTCTGGGAAATTCGACAGAGAGATTTGATTGATATGGCAGCGGATCGTGGAAAATACGTTGATCAGAGTCAAAGTTTAAATCTATTTTTGGAAAAACCAACCTCAAGTCAGTTGACATCTATGCATTTCTACACATGGAAATCTGGTCTAAAGACGGGTATGTATTACTTGCGTAGCAAGGCTGCTGCAGATGCCATCAAATTTACACTTGATCCAAAGACACTAAAAGAGATGAAAAACAGTGGTGCATCTACTCCAGTCTCATCGCCGAGACCTCAGGAAGATGATTGTTTGAGTTGTGGTTCTTAATACATTTATTTGAGTGAAGAATCTTTTTTTTTTCGTAGATTAGTTTTGGGCCGTAATAAAAAAAAAAAAAAAAAACACCTGCCCCCTCTCCCCTTGTAAATAGAGATGGCCTGTTGCAGATGGAAGAGGAAAGAAATTAAAAAAAAAAAAGAGCAAAAAAAAAAAAGATTAGGGTTTCCTTTGTTTGTTTATTTTTCCTTTGTTTATATCAAGCAGATTTCTTTGCTTCCGCTGCATTTCTATAGATTATTTCTCGTATGATACAGATTTCTAATTCCCACTCTTATGTTTTTTTTTTTATATATATCTCTTTCTTTCTGTTTTCAGTTGGACTGAATTCGTGGTTTTCGCTCACGATACTGTTCAGAATGTGTGTCTGGGATTTTTTTTTTTTTTTTGGAGGCACCATTTCTGTGATTGGTGCTATTGCTGCAGTTAAGTTCAAGGAGGGGAGAGGAACATATCTAGAAAACCATAGTGACTCTATTGAGATTGATAGATAGAGATTGACTGGTGTAGTTCCATGGTGACCAGTCCCCGCGCCGATGCTACGGTCCTACAACGTCTGGAAGAGGAACTGCAGCAACACGAACTAGTGCTTGCGGGAGAGCAGGCGCGACTAGCCGAATTGCAGCGACCCGACAGCTGCAGCAGCAGAGGCAGCAGCCCCACCCGCCGCCATAGCAACAACAGCAACATGGGCAGTGTGAGTCCGCGGCGAAGCCCAACGGCGAATGGCGAGAGTCTCGCAGCGGCGCGGAAGCGGCTGCAGGCGAAGAATGCGGCACTTCGCCAGGCGCTCCTGCGGCTGCGGCGGGCGGAGCGGTCCCTCGCGCTCGACCCGCAGTTGATGGAGATCCGCAACAAGACGGCCGCGACGCAGCGGGAGGTGGCGCAAATCACGGAGGAGGTGCGCACCCTCGAGAATGTGCGGCGGCAGTGGCGAAAGGGGATGGAGCGGGTGCGGGCGGGGGAGCGGTCGGTGTCGGCGATACGCGGCCGGCAGTATGAGGAGCAGCTGCAGCTGCGGGACACACTGCGAAACCTCACGGAGGAGCTGAAGCTGCTGGAGAAGAAGGACATTCAACTGCATGAGCATTTCGCCGCCTTGCAGCGGCAAGTGGTGTTGAACGTTACAGAAAAGGAACTTGCCGCATTAAAGGAAGAGCGGGAGGAACAGGAGAGAACAATAGAAAATCTAAAGAAAAAACGGGAGGAGTTGCGGTCACGTCATACAGATTTAATGGATGAGCATAGACGTCTGGCATTTAAAGAGGGAAGAGCAAAAGCCAAGATGGAGAAGGATATTGCAGATCTTAGAGCTCTTCTACAGCTGCGTGATGAGGAACTAGGACAGTTGTATCGCACCATTGGGCGAGGACGAGGACGAGGGCGAGGGCTTGGTAAACCTCAACATTAATACCTGTAGAGAATGGTGGTGGAAAAAAAAAAAAAAAAGAAGGACAGCACACCAAATATAATTCGTTATCCTCTTCAAGTTATGTATGTGTATATGTGCGAATGCAAGTTTATCTCTTTCTTCACTTTCTCCCATTGTTTCCGTATTCATTGGTTTGCAATAAAGGAGTTGCTGAAGTTTTTTTTTTTTACTTTTTTTTTGGTTTTGCTGTAGATTTCGATACTTTGATTTATTAAATGTTTTCTTTGTGTTGTGCTACGCTGTTTTCTTGTGTTTTTTCTTTTTTTTTTTGGCTTATGCTTCAATATTTACTTTCTTTTTCTTTTTTCTTTTTTCTTTTTTGTTCTACATGAACAAACTACTAGCCTTGTCAGGAAGGTCGTACTGCAGAGAAGGCAGCAGAAAAAGAAACAAAGAAGGAACGGAGAAAAAAAAACGTAATTACCGTGTGTGAACGGGGGAAGGGGAGGGGTAAAAACACCCCTTTTCTCTTCAAATTGTCTCTTTTTGTTCTCGTCCCTCAGGAGAGGTGTTGAAGAAAACAACAACAACAACAACAAGAGCAACGTCAACACCCCTGTATATATATATATATTACATATCAAGTGAAAGAACTAAGTCAACAAACCAGTCAAAGGAGCATAGAAGTAAATAAGAAGGAAAGAAGGAAAGAAAAAGAAAACAATACCAACCGAGTTTAAAAAGAAAGAACAAAAAAAAAAAGGAGAAGCAGAGACACAAAAGCAAAATAAGTAACAACAAGAAAATATATTGTTTCATGTATACAACAATGACAACGTCATCTCCTACAGCAGCTGAACAACACTCATTGGGATGTGAAAGTGAATCCAGCAACCACCCTCAACGAGTTGATTCAAACCCACCTGGACTTCTCTCGTTTTTACCAAACAATGAAAAAACAATTCCTTCTGCCTTACCTGTTGTTGGTATTCCCCATAATGAGGCGGTTCGTCAACCTACTCTTTTAGAGCGTCGTGAAAAGAAACTATGTAGTGCTAGTTTTCCTAGTCTGGATGCGGAAACATTACAGGATGATTGTCGTGCTAATATATCAGAGGGTAGTAGTGCTAGTTCTGTTTTTCGTGGTTGGGCGAAAACTCAAATAGGTAGTAGTTTGAGTACATCATCTGTAGAGGGTATGGTAAAACTGGTAAGTTACAACATTTTAGCGCAGCGTTTCGTATCAACAGATTTATACCCGCATTGTCCAACTTTTGCTCTCGCCGAGGATTACCGATGTTCTCTTTTACAAGAAGAACTAAGTAACGCTGCTCCTGATATTATAGCTTTACAGGAAGTTAGTCTAGATGTTTTTCAAAAACCTGGTTTACTGGGTGATTGGTTACGATCACAATACCATGCTGTCGGAAATCATGTGGTAATAACTGACTCTAATGGACGCCCCAGATCTTATGGTGAAGATGTTCAGGGTCCCCGGTCCGATAATACTCCTCTCTCTCATGAGATGGGTCTTGTTTCACCAGAGGTAGAACGCCACGGTGTTTCTCCGATTAATGCCGCTTCTAACGATAATGGTTTTCCATATCATAGACGCTCTGAGATGGAAGGTGTATGCATATTTTACCTAGAGAATCGCTTTGAGTTATGTGAGGTAGTCCCTATCCGATTTAATGAAATAGCTTCTGCCGATCTTGACCTTACGGAGTGCGAGCGTCGTCGATTACAAGTGAACTCCCACAACGTGGCGCTCATCTCCGTCCTGCGGGATCGTCAGGCGCCGCACATTGTGTATGTGGTCTGCACTGTGCATCTCATCTGGCAGCAAACGGCCTGTCAGCTCTGGCAGCTGCACCACGTACTGCGGGCGGTGGAGGAACTCAAACAAAAGTACGAGGCGCTGCCGGACGGCGCCGTGGCGGTCGTTCTCGCGGGCGACTTCAACGCGGAGCCCACCGCCCCGACGCTGCAGTTCGCCCTCGCCGGGCAGCCGCCGCCGGACAGCGACGTCGTGCGGGGTTGGCGACTGCCAGAGAATGGCAACAACAACAGCAACAGCAACCATAACCATGGCAATGATAATAACAATAAGAAGAGTTACAATAGTAATAATGATAAGAATAAAAATAACAACACAGAAGGGGAGGTAGCACGAAAACGGTACCGTATCACAGAAAGCGTGGGGCACTCCCTTACGCTACACGACGTATATGCCGCTTACCGCGCGCAGCACTCACAGTGCGTGTCCGCGGTTAATCCGTCTACAAATGGGGAGGGTAAAGTACTGGACCATATTCTCCTCGACGAGCAGCACGTCGTCTGCACAGCTGTCCTCGAACTCTCTGGACTTATGGATCTGCCAACAAAGCACTGTCCCAGTGATCACTACCCTGTGGGGGCCATATTCGCTCCGCGTAGTTTAGTTGCATGAAAATGCAGGTGAATTGAGCGCTGCAGAGGAATAAAAGAAGGAAAACAAAAATAAAACAAAAAGTAATGAGAGAGATGGAGAGAGGCCATATATATATATATATATATATATATATATATATATAT